TGCTTATTGTGATTCGGACTGGGCTAGTTGTCCCATGGCATGTCGTTCAACTACTAGGTATTATTATTATTTTTTTTTTGGACATAGTCCTATTGCTTGAAAAACCAAGAAACAAACAACCGTATCACACTCATTCGCAGATGCTGAATATCATTCTATGGCATCAGCTAGTTGTGAAGTAACATGGATGAACTATCTCCTACTTGATTTACGTGTGCCACATATGGATCCCATTCCTTTATACTGTGACAACCACTCTGCTTTGCACATAACCTCTAATCTCGTCTTTCATAAGCAAACAAAGCATATCGAGTTGGGCAGTCATCTTGTGTGTGAAAAGATTCAATCTAGCTTACTTAAGCCTACCCACATTCCTTCAATCCACCAGATTGTCGACATATTTACCAAACCTTTGGGTCGCACTACTTTCACCCAATTATGTTGCAAGTTGGGCATTTACAACATTCATTCTCCAACTTGTGGGGGAGTCTTGGAATCTACCATATCATATTTAACATGTGCAGCTAATTTCTCTATATGTTGCCTATTTGTTGCCTTTGTTCATGTGGTTGAATGTATAGCACTAACAGCTAGTAGTTTCCTTTTTCTGATGTAATTCTATGTGTCCCAATTTTTAAGGGATTTGACCTCCTTTTCTGTAGCAATCAATCCATAGATTTTTGAGATTAGATTTATTTACTGTATTGTACATATCTATATCTATAATATAAAACAGAGTAGACTGCAATAAATCCATCTGAAGATCTCAAAGACATTTATCTAACGTCCATCAACATTTTTCTCAAAATCATTCATATTGCACCGTACTTGAAGGCACAGGCTACCCAGTTCAATGAATAAAATAAAAAATATTTTAGTCATTCTTCATAGCATGTAATCAGTTGATAGGCCATGAACATGGCAACAATGCAAAAAGATGTAATACATAAAGACAACATGAAGAGATGTTAACATCTTTGGAACTCCAAGACAAAATAAAATAGAAATGTAGAAATTAATTACATTGGGAACTATGATGTTTTCACTCTTTACTGGTGGTCTCATTTGTTTAGGATTCCTTAATAGTTGAACCTTGATTGTATCATTGACTTCAGATTCCTTTACAGTTGTAAGCCCTCATTCCTTTGTTATGACAACTGTGCATGATGATTCTCACACAATAAATAAATTGACAGATCTGTCACTTGGTTAACTCAAGTTTACTTGAAAATGTGAAGGTGGTGTTGAGAGATCATGACAAAACTCCTTAAGAACGATCAAATCGCTGGTGAGTGATCGAACTAGGTCCTGTAACTCAAAATGAAAGGTTAGAATGGCACCGAAGCGTTTTCGGCGTGACCTCTCCAACGATCAAGTTAGTATATGAGAGAGAGGTAGGAAAACACTGTTCTATTGCTTGGGTGAGAATTTATGTGTGTACCTTTGTTTCGATTTTGTGAGAGTTATTTATACCTCTATGAAGTTAATCATTGCAGACAGGTGAGTCCCTTGGAAAGAAGACTACTTATTGGTCCATATAGATGGTGACCTATGATGTACAATCTGTGGGTAATGTGCATTTCTTGTCACGTGAAAATAAGTTTTTGAATTTAATGCTCAGATCTCTGAGCATTTAATGCTTGCCTTTCGAGATTCACTGAGCAATAAATGTGTCCCATCCTTCTAAAAAATCATTTAATATTTCTTTGTGGCCCTCACACAAGTGCAAGGGTACTTTTGCCCATTGCCTCTTAATTCTGCGCTTTGCAGATTGTGTATCACTGTTATTATTCGTTGACTTGCTTATTCTGCTATTGGTCAATAACTAATAGCCAACTCTACTCCCAAACCACGATAACCGTTAAAATCTCTATTCATACTTTTTCGGCGTGGAGGATGTGGCATCAAGGTGATGTGTCTAGTGGAAGCCCCTGGACATACGCCAAGGACACATGTCAAATGGATGGGGCCCTGAAGGCCTTCAGAGCAGAGGACACGTCTCACTCACAGGGGGCTCTAAGAGGACACATGCTGAGGACACGCGTTAATGCATAGGGTGTCTAGCGGAACTGTTGAGCCGAGAACACATGTCTCACAGGGGAGCTCTGAGGGACACAGTTGTGTCAAGGACACGTTGCTCACAAGGGGATTCGAGGGGACTCACGCCGAGGACATATATCAATCATGGTGTACCCATGTTTCTCAAGCTGAGGACACGTGTCGACTACTTGTCAATTCTCAGAAATGTCCCATCAATTGCCCCCCAGCCTTTGATCTTTGTAAGATGAGGGTGATGTGGCGTGGGAAAATGAAAGGGTTTGACTTCTGCTTCCATGTGCAGCCGTTTTCCCTCCTTTGGGGATCGTGGCCCATTTAATTCGCCCCTTCTCATTCATCATGTGTAATCATGGCCTTGGGCCCTATTTAAATAGAGGCTCTGCATCTTTCTTCCACTTTTCCAACCCTACAATTCGAAGAGCCTTTCACCGGAGTTCCATCAACGAAGCTTTTCCTCGCTTGAAAGCCATCAATCTCTCAAAAACCACTAGAGAAGAAGCCACCAACCTCTCCTATGATCAGAGTCGTGCTCATTGGTAAGTAACTATTTTTTTTCTTTATGTTCTTTCTTTGTGACCATTTTCCCTCTGTTTCGTCTCTTTTTTGTCCTAGCAACACCATTCTTGACCCTTTAGCCCTATTATCTTTCTTTTCCCCCTCTTAGTAGTGACCCTATGGCCCCTTATCTCTAGGAACTCTTCCTTTTCAAGTCATTTCCTTTGTTTACACCATGCCTAGACGTCGTCGAAATATGAACGTGAGGGCCGATGAGGCTAGTACCTCGAGGCTCAGAAAATATACAGTCATGGGTCGTCCACAAATAACCAATTTTAAGACCCACTACTTTATCCCAATCAGGGTTACGGTCACTATAAATGAGTTTATTCCTGGACTCCACAGTGTCGATGCTGATACTGAGGCAACCATGCCTTTTTACACTAAAGCCATTATGGAGGGTGGTATCAGACTCCCCCTTTACCCCATTCTTCTTTGCTTCCTATCCAGTTTCGTCTCTTTTCAAGTCAATGTTTCTTGAATACTTTTAGGATAATCATGAGGGTGGTCACCTTAAATAAGCGTTTAGGAGTAAACCTCATCTTGGAGGAGATCTTGTTCTGCTACGCCTTAGTGAGGGTGATGCCTCAGCAGAAGTTCTATCTCAAGACGCGAGACCTAGCCATATACCTTGTGAAACACCTTCCAGACTCAGACAAGGGGTACAATGACGACTTGCTCGTCTTCAGTGGTCAATGGGAGAGAGTATTTGGCCTTGAGCATGCCTATTTGTGGTGTCCAAGCAATGGCGGACAACGAGTATGTCGAATTCTCTCTCTCTCTTTTCGGCTTACATCACCTCAGTGGGTGTTAACTTATTTTCTAACCATCCGTTTATTCCTCTTTACAGGAGTCGCCGATGCCGAGTCTGTTCCTCCACCCTGGCACATTGTCAATGTTGTTGACCTCATCATAGTCTGGAAATACTTGGGCAACAGGTTTGGCCGAGCTGTGCACATGTTGCTTAACTATCTCCCAGGGTACAAAAACTTCTCCCAGACACCCCATCTATTTGATCCTTCAAGGTGGTCGGCATTATTCGACAAAAACTTGGAAAAGGATCCCAATAGAGCAACTGAAGCTGAGGTAAAGGTTGCCTAAGACACCATCGCCGACGCCTAAGAAGTCAGGGATCCATCCACTACCATACACGCCAAGGAAAACTCTTCAGGCAAGAATGTTAGGCCAGACGTCAACACCCTGTGAAACCTTATAGAAGAAGATGCTTTCGAAGTAGCCATGTCCAATCTACCTTACCTCTTCTGCAGCTTGATCAAAGAGAGAGTCGCTCTTACTGTTGGGTTGGGACGCGACTCTGGTTTTAGGACCAACCATCCCAACCAGGAACATACTTGTCTTTTTGGGATGCCAATCCAGAGGGTGACACCTCCAACTCCCCCCATTATCGATGACTGCATTGCTCTGACTCCACTAGGATACAACCGAGTCCTTGACAGGGACCCTTAAATGGAGAGAAGAATACAGTAAAGGCATGATAGTGCTGGCCGTGGCAGGGGCACTCCTACGCCAACATCTAGGTCCATACCAACGTCGGTCCCTAATACGTCAGAGTGGTATGGTACTGCCCGAGATCGCGATAATCAGCCGATAAGGGTGATTGACTCCATCGTTGCCTCTCCTCATGTTGCATACGCCATGAGTGAGGCACTCCACTTTGACACCGACATGGTGGTTCGTTGCGGGCATGGGAGTAATCATTTGTTCCGCTCCCTCATCCAATACTCATTGGTGGTAAGGCTTCAACATTTGTGAATTTTTCTTCTTTCTTGCTTTAGCGTCTTCCTTGGCGTTACTTTTCTTTCCTTCATCTTTTAGGTGGCTCAGAAGGTATCTATCATTGCCGAGAGCTTCCATGCCCATCAGGAGAAGGTCTAGGAGTATAAGAGACTCTAGGCCAACCTTGAGAAGGTCCAAGGGGCTTTCACCACAGTTAAGGAAGAGGTGGCTGCTAGGGACAAGACCCTCTCTACTTAAGGAGTCCAGATAGTCAAGCTCTTCAAAGAGAGCCAAGCTGCCAAAAGGGAGGTTGATAAGGTTAGGGCTTCGCTCGCCAAGTTTAACAAGTTTGCTTTGAAAAGAATGACTGAGGTGACGAAGTAGGTGCCTCTGGCCAAGGCAAGGGTAACAGAGTCAGAGCAAACTTATGCCTCCCTACTCAAGAATTGGACAAGTTAAAGGCTAAGTTGGAGGCCAGGAAGTTGTTGGAGGAAAAGATTGTCAATCGGTGCATCAATGAAATTTTGGTGGCCTTCTAAGAGAATAAGAGGGAGCACTTCAAGATTGGATGAGACAAGGCACTTTGGGCTGCTGGGGTCCCTGTCAAGTCCACACTCTTCAAGGAACACAAATACTTTACCTCCACGGCGATGGGGCAGACTGCCGCCAAGGTTGCAAAAGAAGATGTTACTACACTCCAAGCTGCAAATCAAACTCCGCCGATGGAGAACACGAATCCAACTCTTGGCCCTCAGAGTGACATTGCCCCACTGCCCAAGGCTGCCACTGTCATTACTACTGCTCCAGCTCCAGCTTCTGCTCCTATCGATGCTACACCTACAACTTCCGTCGACCCCACCCCTACTACCCCTTTGGGTGAGGCCTTTCTTGCTCAAGCCAATGCTGCGTCCACTTCTCATAGTGCTGACACATTCTTTGCTAGTATTGATGAACTTTTCGGTGACATTGGAGGTGACATCGACAGTAAGGTTACTAGGCCTCCTTAGAGTAGTTTTTTTTCTCTCTTTCCTTGTAATTTTTTGATTCTTATTCCTGCGTCCTAAAGGACGCAAATTCATCCTCTTTTGCAATACAAGATCGCCTTTCTTTTTCCAAGTTTTTTTTTGTCGTTCCTCGGCCCCAAGGCTCCAAGACCCCTCCCCATCCTCAGGGGTGCTAGCCTTCGTCCTCCTTGACATCCTTTATGAAAAAAAAATTTCAAAGTGTTCTCCCTCGGGAATCACACCCCATCCAGGAGGCTTCGCTCCCTGAGTCTTTTTTGGGTGAGTCCTTTTCTAAGGGCTCACCCTTGGGGTCGAGCCCCTTCCAAGAGGCTTCGCTCCTTTGTCTCTTTGGAGACAAGAGTTTCCAGGAGTTTTTGCTACTTTTTTTCTTTGGAGGCAATAGTCTTCCTCGAAGATTCCGTCTTTGGGGCCATATCCCTTCTAGTAAGCTTTGCTCATTTGTCTTTTTGGAGGCAAGAGTCTTCTTTAAAGACTTTTCCTCCAAGGCCATAGCCTTCAAGGAACCTTCACTCATTTGTCTCTTTGGAGGCAAGGAGTCTTCTTTAAGGACTTCGCCTCTGGTGCCATGCCACTTTCGGGACAGTTCATTTAGTGAAAATAAGCCTTTTGTTCTAAAAAAATAGAAAATTTTCAAATTCATTACATTACAAGGCTAAAGTATAACATTTCCCTCCGTATCTTCCAACTTGTACGACTCGGAACCTCCCACTGATATGACTCTGTATGGTCCCTCCCAATTTGGTCCCACATTTCCATCGGTTGGGTCACAAGTATTTTCGACTACTCTTCTGAGCACCAGGTCACCTACTTGAAATCTTTGAGGTTTTACTCTTTTACTGTAAAGTTTAAACACCCTTTCTTGGTACTTTGTTAATCTTAAGACTGCCATTTCTTTTCTTTCCTCTGTGAGATCCAAGTTTAGGCTGAGTTGATGATCGTTCTCTCCAGTGTCAAAAGCTTGCGTTTTATAATGGAGAGACTTACCTCCAGCGTGATAACCGCCTCTACTCCATATGCAAGAGCATAAGGTGTTTCGCCTGTTGAGGTCGAGAGAGTTTTCCTGTAAGCCCAAAGGATATTCAGAAGCTCACCCACCAATTTCTCCTTACCTTTCTTTAATCTTTTCTTAATTCTGCTGACGATGGTCTTATTTGAAGACTCCACCTATCCATTAGCTTATTGGTACGAGGGCTTGGAGTAGTAATTCTGGATTCTGAGGTGCTCACAAAAAGATTTGAGGGTTCTGCTGTTAAACTGAGTGCCGTTTTCTGATACAAGCGCATGGGGGACCCCAAACCTTATCACTATGTTCTTCCACACAAACTTTTTTGTGTCTGTGTCCCTGATATAAGTCAATAGCACAACATCAACCCACTTTGTGAAATAATCGATCCCAACTATTAGGAACTTTTTGTCTCCACCAAGTAGAGCCCCCATTGGGCAAACGACCAATGACTAGTTAGTGAGTGCAAATCTCCTGTTGGTTGCTTAATGGTGGGGTGAACTTCTGGCATTGGTCGCACTTTCGGACATAAACTTGTGCATCCCTTTGCATTCGTGGCCACCAATATCCTTGTGACATGATCCGATGGGCGATGAACTTTCCAATCAAGTGCCCCTCATATATGCCTTCATGCACTTAATACAGGAGGGTTCAACTTTATCTTCGTGGACACAAAGTAAATAGGGTCTGGAGAACAATTTTTGGTACAAATTTTGATCTAGGGAGGCCTAGAACCTCGGGCCCCTCAACTTTATCTTCCTAGCTTTCTTGAGACACTCTAGGAGTTTCCCAAACACAAGGAACTTGAGTAGCGAATTAATCCAGATTAATCCAACTAGGGGACTCCTCCCACTCTAGAATGGCTATCACACCAGGGACGTCGTCTATGTTGGAGTTGGGGAGGAACTCCACGGTAATCTTGTGTGTCATGTTAGAATCCAACGTCGAGGCTAAGCATACCAAGGCATCGACGTGGACATTCTTGTCCTATGGGACCTACTAGACTCCCACCTTTTTAAACTTGTGGAGTAGGGTCATTGCCTTGTGGTGATAAGCCTTCATTCTTGGATCCCTTGCCTCGAATTCTCCATTGATTTGGTTGACCACCAGTAAGGAATCACAAAAGAATGTCAGCTCCGCAGCCCCCGCTGCATCGGCAAGTTTGAGTGTAGAGATTAGGGCTTCATATTCTGCCTCATTGTTGGATGCCTTGAATCTCAACCGCACTGCCTGCTCCATGACTAACCTTCTAGGGAGACTAATAACACTTCAATTTTGGAACCCTTGCTATTGGAGGATTTGTCCACATAAAGTCTCCAGAAGTGCACTTGGTCGTCCTTGGAGTGCCCCACCTCGGGGGTAGATGGTTTCCCTTGGGTAAACTCACCAATGAAATCTACTAACACTTGCCCTTTTATTACAATGTGAGGCCTGTAGTGGATGTCATGTTCCCCCAACTCCATGGTCCATTTTGCTGTCCTCCCGGAGAGGTTTGCTTTCCTTAGGTTTGCCTTCTAAGGTTGATCTGTCAAGACAATGAAAGGGTGCACTTGAAAGTATGCCTCAACTTTTGTGTGGCTGTGACTAACGCCAACACAATTTTTTTCAAAGGCAAGTATCTTGTCTTCGCGTCTAGAAGAGTTTTACTTACATAGTACACTGGCTTCTGTTCATGTTCATACTCGTGGACCAGTAAGCCGTTACCGACAAATTCAAAAACGACCAGGTAAAGGAACAACATCTCCTCTCCTTTTGGAACTGACAAGGTCAAGAGGACCTTGAGGTACTCCTTGATCCCTCCGAGCGCCCTCTTGCATTCTTTGTTCCAAGAATCCTTTCTGGACCTCTTGATGGAACCAGAAAAAAGCTTGCATTTTTCTAAAGACCGAGATATAAAACAATTTAAGGTGGCAAATATTCTTGTAAGTTTCTGGACGTCGTGGACGGTCCAGGGGGCTACGTACATCCATGATAGCCTGTATCTGTTTCAAGTTTCCCTCGACGCTGCACCAACTTACTATGTATCTCAGAAACTTTCCAAAGCCATGGTGTTCCCCATTTGTCGTTTGAACATTCAGTTCATGAGCCTCTGGTATCTGGCACTCGCATTTTTTTAATCTGAATGTCATGACCTTGTCACAATAGACCCCCTTTGGAGTGATGAATATAGTCTTCTCCTAATCAGGTGGATGGAGAGGGATCTGGTGATAGCCGATTCGGGCAGCCATGAAGGCCATGCATTTGTGTCCCGCCGTGGCATTTACCAACTGATCAATCTTAGGGAAGGGATAATCATCCTTGGCACAAGCCTTGTTCAAGTCTGTAAAGTCCATGTAGACACGCCACTTCCCTCTCTTCTTCTTTGTGCGGACAGTGTTCGACAACCATTCTGGGAATTGTACCTGCCAGATGGCGTCGGCCTCTGGGAGCCCCTCCATCTCTTCGTTCACTGCCTAAGCTTTTGCTTGATGGTGATATGATTGGGATCAACATGACGCCTGTGAGTTATAACATCTGGACTTACACCTTTCATCTCTTCGACGTCCCATGCAAACACATCCACATTTTTCCTAAAAAAATTAGCAATCCCCTCCTACTTGGCCATGCACATGGTGGAGGTGATCAGGAAGTATCTCTCCTCATCCCCCTCCCTTACGAATACCTTCTAGAGGTCCTCCATAGAGTAGTCGGCTGGGTTAATCTGTGGCTTATCGACACCTAGCCGTCCGGACTGTAGTTGCTATTTGTTCAACACTTTTTCCAAGGCACGATCCTTCTTTTTGGAGATAACCCCAAATTTTACAGTAGCATAAAAATAACTTATTATTGAAGCTTGCTCTTCGCAAATCCCCATTAGCCCCCTCCGGAATGGGGAACTTCAACTTCTGATGGTAGGTGGTGTGCACTGCTCCAAGCGAGTGCAACCAAGTCCGCCCCATTATTATGTTGTATGGAAAATTAGAGTCGATCACTACAAACTTTGTGTCGATCATGATAGGCCCGGTGGTGACCCGCAGAGTGATCTTCTACTACAAGAAAAAAAGTTTTTTTGCATCAACAATTTGCCATCTCAAAAGATCACGTTGTCGTCGCAAATACTATTTGCAATGGCAACGTGATATTTTAAGTCGAAAAATTGGGGGTAGCAAATAATAGGTGATGCAAAAGATTTTGCATCGGCAATTAACCGTCACAAAAGCTTTTGCATCGGGAAAATCCGATGCAAATGCGCAGTCACAAAAAAATCTTAGATCTGACATTTTTTGTTTGTATCAGCAATTTTTCGTCTCAAAAAACCTATGTGCGATGCTTTAAATCGTCACAAAAGGTATTATTAGCCATAGTTGGGGACCGTTGCAAAAAATCCCGTTTGCAACGGTTAAAATTTGTCGCAAAAGATATTATTACCCACAATAGAGGACCGTCGCAGCAAACCCATTTACAACGGTTTTAATTCGTCGCAAATGACATTATTAGCCACAGTGAGGGATAGTCTCAACAAACCCATTTACAATGGTTTTTAACTGTCACAAAAGATATTATTTGCCACGGCAAAAGGCTAATGCAAAAAAAAAAAAATAATATTACTATTTTAACGTTATTTGCGTCAATAACTTGCTTTCATAAATAATTTTTTCTTTTAAAACTAATTCTCTCTTTCACATGTTTCTATGGGCCTATTTACATATCCAATACATTACCCATAACATCATTTGATTAAAATAATAAGGCACATCTCTTAAAACAAAAGCATCTAAATTTAAAAATAAAAATATATTCAACATAAGTAAATAACATCCAAAAGTTTAAAAACAAAATATTCCAAACTACATAATAAAAGTGTCTATGCATAATAAAAAAATTTAGTCTCCCAATGCATCATTTGCTCTGTAATCATGCACAATGTGTATTCTCTACCCATGCGTCATCTACTCTCTGCGTGATCTATTTATTTGATAGCACCTGCAAAAGATACGATTTGTGTTATTATTGTCAATAATATGTTTGGTTGCTAATTATATACATATTAATTAAGATAAAACACACATCACTAAACAGCCAAGCAACACATTTTCCCATTGCCTGCCCAACAATAATTACACCAGGAAAAGGTCTTATCAAATACATATTAGGCACTATTGTTTCCTCAAC